CCAGACAACACGCATGGTCTCTTGGGTGGAGTGCACCGGAGCTTGTGACACGGGGGCCTGCTGTGCCAGCCAGCGAATGAAACGCCGGAAATACACCTTTGAATGCAGCGATGGAACCTCCTTCAGTGAGGAAGTGGAAAAGACCATCAAGTGCGGCTGTGTGGGCTGCATGTAGCACCATTCACTCACATTTCCTGCTGCTGCCGCTGAGCAGAAGATAGAAAGAAAGGAAGGAAAGAAGGAAGAGAGAGGACTGGAGGAAGACGAGGGAGGGAAAGAAAGAAAGAGAGAGTATAAAGAGTATATATAAAACCTCTATCTATATATTATGGACAACAATGTTTGTAAAATAGGACATTTCTTGCCCTTCCACGGGTGTGTGACCTACAGTAACACAGAGAAACCAACATCATGAGCAACAATGTAGAAGTGACAACAACAGCAACAAAAACCATTGTATCTGCAACATTGTTCCAAGGGGTCCAGAGATTTCAAAGGTGTTGCATTCAGAGTGAGGCATCCCTCCAACCCAAATTACCCAGTGTGAATTCCCCATCCATCTGCGAGGCCTCTGACAGCCTAGCCACCATCTACCATCTTTACTTCGTGGAGGCAGTGAGGACAGTGGGGTCCAGCCTGGCTAAGAATGGCAGAAGCGAGGCAGAGAAAGACAAAAAGAGAGAAACAGAGAGATAAGAAGAGAGCTGGACCGTTCGACTTGGCAAAGCTATCTTGAGTTGAGCTTGGCTGGGTTACATGGACTGGGCTGGATATGGTTTGGGTTGAGTTGAAGTTGGTGTTGGTTTGGTGTAGCAATTTCTCTGCCAGGATACAGTCATCCATCCACACATGCACATGTAGAAGCGAACAAAGAAAAGGTAGGGTTAGAGTGGCACATAATCCAGTGCGGATGTCGTGGCTTTGAGGCCAGGTGGTCTGATGTCACAGTTGTTTGCTGTGAGGTACCGTAACATAGAAACTCCATGAAAATAGAGACTGCACTGACTAGCAGCACTGAAAAACGACAGTCATACACCTCTCTGAAGTTCATGATCACACATGCATGACATACATACATTTACACACAGTCTTGTGAGAGCTTGTGTGGTGCAACTAACTATTCTGTTCGTACAGCAAACCGATCTGACACTGGCAGTGCCCAGTGGTTATCAGTCCCCCAGCATACATTGCCTCAGGGTTAGGATGATTTGCATAATCCCACCCCCTTTGAGCAGGAGGCTGTTAAGCCCTGCTCCTCTTGATGCCTGCAGTATTAAACTTGTGCAAACTATTGCATGTGTGGAGAAGAGTTTGCCAACAAATATGTAGAGCTTCTTAATATCATTATAAATGTTATTACAAAACAAAAAGGTTGCAGAATCATCTTCTGATTTTTGTTTTGTTCTGTCTAATTTCTCATATTGATTTGTTTTTATTTTTGTTATATTTTGTTATATTTTGTCTCATGATGTAACCTAACTCCTTTAGCCGCCCCCCAACCCTCCCCTACAACCCTTTATATAGAAATGCCTAACAGATTCTAATATATATATATTTGTATTTCATTTTGGTATAGTATTTTTCTATGTTAAAGAGTAAGTCTGTTTCTGGAAGCTTTGGGACTGGTGGAAAGGCATTCAGTTGGTTCCCTAGGTGTTTTTATTTGTTGATCTCACTTGCACCAACAAGGTAATTAATTACGTTAATTGGCCAAAAATACAGCAGCTGGTTGGCCTTGTTGTATGGGAGGCAGTATTGGTCTAGAAATGTTTAATATTGTATATGTTGTCTTCCATGTGAATATTACATCTAATTCATGAGAGTCTGTGCTTGTTTTTATTTATTTTATCTAAAGGCGTTTTCCTGTAGAAAGTGAAAGGCATAAATGTTGCTGACTTTCAAATATTTTCAAAAATTTCAAAAAGATGAAAAAAGGTAAAATAATAAATAAAAATAGCATAAAAATCTGTAAGGTATTTGTAACATCACTTAATAGCGAGTTACGGCAGTGTTTTCCTCCTCTCTGGCTCAGACATTCCTCGTTTGCTGCAGGGGCTGGAGAGGTCAGAGCTGGGATTAAGAGATGTCCCCCTCAAATTTACCTTGTAATTACCATACCACACTTAAATGCTTCTGATTATTTTCATGTTCATTTTGTTTAAGTGCTGGGTTGTATTTCTATCATTTTTTGATTTGAGAGATGTTTGCCATAGAAAGAAGGTGTTTTTAGTTCAACAGAGTTAAAGTAGTCAAGCTCAACTGATCATAAGCTGCTGTCAAGCCAGAAGAAATAGGATGAAGTTGTTTCTGTGGACAATGATCATGTTAAGATATATCATCCTTGATCTGTTTGAATAGGCAACTGTGTGAAGCATTACATGCCTACTACTGACAGATAATAAATGAGAAAGGTCTGGACATTTTAATATCTGTCAGTTCTGACTGGCTATCCACACAAAAAAAAAAAGAAGAAATGGTGCCAATTACAGTGAACACAACAGTCATACCTGAATGTATAAATGTGTATAGATAAATATGACCTATGCTTATTCATGAAGTGGTAACCTTTAGCTGTTATTTAGTTTCCAATGTAAGATATAGAAATCACATACTGTTCAATAAGTGACAGTCCATCAGGATGGCTTAAGGCATTGTTCTCCCTGCAGATTGGGATTGTGTTTATCCATTTTGCTGATCTAAATGTTAAAAGTCTCTTTATAGTGTGAAAGGCTGCAGACCCAAATCTCAGCTTGGTACAATGCACACAGAGCTCCTATTCATATTGCTACCCATGTTGACTTTGTTTTACATGCTGTTGTTGTGATCCCAGTGGTGTACAATAACATTAAAAGAAGATCTCATAAAGGATACTGATGAACAGTCACTGTAATTGTTAGGCTGTGTGCCTCATAAAGGTGCATCTTTAGTCGAATGTGGCTTTCTTTTCATGTCTCCTTTCCTTCCTCTGCACTGATCTGTACTGGACTGGTGCATTCAGCTTCCTGGTAGACATCTTAGTGGTGCTTGTGCTATATTGAGATGTAATTCAGTTATCTGGTCACGTGACCGGAAACAGATTTTCCATCCTATGAACTATATACATAAATATGTTATTGTAAACGACACAATGTCTCTGTTGTATTGAACTGGTGCAAAAACTTAAGAAATATCCCTGGTTGGGTTCTGTCTGTTTTGCTTTTTTTTTGTTACAGGATTGATGGTGGGATTAAACTGAAAAACTCCCAATAATGCTGAATGTATGTAGTGCCACCGACAAAATGTTTACCAAACCTCCACTCTTTTTCATTAATTAAACTTAAATGTGTGTGCTTTTAAGAATGTGTTGTCTTTTTTCATTTACTTCATTTCTTCTCCGTTATTTGACAAAATTTAAAAGCCTAAAACCTTTAAGCCACACAGATGAGAAGTCCTTAAAGTTCTCAGAGAAAATGTACAAATCTACAATTCCGTGCTAACTGGGAAAACTTCATCATGTGATATGATCAAAAGCTCCAGAACAGCTACTAAAAGGACTTTGTGTGAGATGATTTTTTTGTTTTGTGTCTTTGGAGTTTATCAGAAACACGCAATCCTGCCAAAACTGAAGAATTGGCGGTCAACTGGGAATTTATGGCACACCACTCCTGAGTCCTGACTGATTTTTATCAACACAGAAGGAATTCAGTGCAGTAAAGGAAATTAGTAACGCTGTTTTCTTGGCCTTGACTGTGTGAAAGCATATCAAGCCCAAAGGGTTGGATGCTAATTCAGGGAGAACCACGGTCATTCTGCCATGAGGCAAACAGACTTCACCCAGCCAAAACTGAGTCCAAGTCTAGTTCACAACATTGGCGTGTTGAGTAATCACTCATCTGTTGTCACTCCGTCCATGAGTATGATTGGAGTAGGAAAAATATTCCCTGTGGTCCATTTTCAGAGGTTTCGTATTGCCTGGACAGCTACTTGTTGACACACCCAGCAGAATATAATTTTCAGGTGTCTCTCATGTCAAGGCTAAGCCCTTACTGCAGCTGCCCGAGGTTTCAAGTTCAGCACCCAGTGATACTTCTCTCTGTAGCCAGGAGCTAAATAAATGAAATAACTGAGTAAGTAACTAATTAGGTAATATCTGACAAATGGTCACCGAACAGTGAGTGCCTCAAGTGAAAATCAGTTCTTATTCTAACAACCCAGTGACTACGAACAACAATCTGTCTCAGTAGGGCTCTTACCACCATGTACACCAGGGATGTCTGTGAAACAGAAACTTCCCTGGTGTCCAGGATGGTAACACTAACCGGGTTGGACCCATTCAGAGTTCAAATTCAGTCCATCATCTTCACTAGATAAGAAAAAGTAAACAGTAAAGGGGTATGTGCCTGTGCTGTTTTGTTTTTTTGTCATCTTTCCAGCTTCAGTTGGAGAGAGAACTTTGTATTTCACCATTGAGGTGAATGAAGTTATCAATTTCCTCATGCCATGTTGGTTTTGGTGAGAAGTTGGTGTTCGTTCACCTTCCGTTTTCTACAAGGACTGAGGTGACGGAGGCCAACTGTTAACCAATCTGTCCCACAGCGGGAGCTTCCTGTGGTGTTCGGGACTCTTGCCCGTGAGCCGTATGGTAAGTCATGGCAGGTCCCTTCCATGTGAAATGCCTTCATTGGCTACACCAAGGTATTTCATAAAGCTGTCACACTTGCCATGAGGCCTCAGTTCACCAGAAGTAGAAGTGCTTCAACTGCTCAATTTTCATGAACAGCAGTAAAAATTATTAAGGGGTTAATTCATTGGGTGGAGACTATAAAGACAGACCTCTTGGAAAAGATTAGGAAGACAGAAGACAAAATGTATATGTACCTAGTCTGTTTCAAGCATATGAAACCCTTTGGTTTCCGCCTTACCACTTTAACTTATTTTTGTACTTCCAAAATAAATGTAGTTCAACTTGTCTGGTTAAATAACATTAAAACACTGACACAAATGAGCCAAGAAGCCAAACATAAAATTCGAACATCTTTATATCAACTCCAGCAAAAATACAAAGTTCTTAACATAAAGATGTATCATTCTTGGGATTACCACAAATAAAGCAGTTATTTCTTTCTAATATACAAAATCAAAATCTTTAAATAGCAACTGTAAAGAATAAACATGTTCAAGTCTGATATTTGGTGGGCTGTTTTAGATTTGTGAAATTCATTAGCCTACACAGAGTTCTTAAATAACAATAAAAACATGACAGACATGTTTTGCATTTAAAGATGATTTATCCTCTAAAGAGAAATAACCATAAAAAAAAAAAAAAAAATAACACTGTGCTAAAAAATGTATTTTTGTTTTGACAACACACTAATGTAAGTTACTACTGTGGAAGTAACGAAACTTCACATTATGAGAACATCTGCCTGACAGTCAATGACAATAAAAAATAACAACATAATAAAACTGCAACATACTTGGATACACAACTCTGACTAGACTACCCCCAAAACGTTGTATCCAACTTGTGAATAATCAGGAAAGGATTTATCACCCTGTAATGAGCCATTAATGCTTAAAGAGGCCATAAACTTCATTCATATTAACCAACCAAATATACATTCTTTTCAGGCCTTTGTCGTTGGGGATACTGGCTTGTGTATCACTTTGTCAACAATATTTCCATCAGTCATCTCAGTCAGTACAGCTTTTTGACGGGCACTGAATGGGATTAGTATATCCAAAAATCAAGGGCATAAATATAGTTCTGTGTTTCAGTTCTTGGAAGGCAGCAGCGCTAATGTTAGAGTTTCAGAAACTGTCTCCACATTAACAAGACTTAACACATGCAGAAGCAGGTAAAATACTCAAAGTGAAGTCACTATTATGAGCAGAGAACAATGGATGCAATGGTCAGAAGTGACTGCAGGGGTACACAGTGATGAAAACTGACCTAAAACAACATAAAACTTACAAACTTGTCACATACAGAGCACGCTTGTCTGTTTTAACAGTTCAGACACGTATTTGTTTTAACGTCTAATACAACTATAATAAGAACAATTTTAAGTTAATGGTCTGGGTAAATGGGAATATGAAAATACACCTGTCAGGTAAGTAAGTAAATCAGAACATCTGAATGCCTCAGTCAACATAAGAAGTTACAGATGAAGCACAATGCACATACTGTATGGAACGGAAACTATTTGCGCACACACTTTGTGAAGCAAATAAACATTGACTGCCTCTCCAGCAATTGAAAGCTGTTATAACTAAAGGACAGGAATTTTCACATTTTACTCATTCTATTACTTTACATTTCATAAATAAGGCACCTGGTCACAACAGTCACATATTCACAATGTTGCGATTGGAAGACAGGCTGGAGATACAAGCTGCCTACTTACTGTAAGTAAAAATTTTATTCAACAGCTAATCTCCCTTCTCATAGCAAGCTCTTAGAACAGTAAATTTAAATGCATGCCATCATCTAAAACAATAACTATATACAAAATGGCAAAAAAAAGGAAACGTGAATGGATTTAATGTCACCTTGATAACTGATTCAAAGCTTGATGTTTATCCTATTAAAATGAGGTTTGATAGGCTATTGTTATCTCCAGCCGTGTCATAGAGTGCTGAAACATAAAGCCAAACAGCAACTACATCTGCTAGACATCATGTAGGACTCGTGTGTAGTCCCTGAACAAAGAGCAAATGCTCACAAATAATCCATCACATTTGCATGTTCACACGGAAGCTTTACAAAAGCATAAATGACTTTCAAAATCTGTTCCTTCTTCACATATTTGCCTACTGAAAAAGGTATCTTCTGCAGAGTTTGGTGAGAGTAGAAAATAGATACTTCTGGTCCTTCTGAATACATTCCAGATAAAAGAAAATCACAAAACTCTTCTAAATAGACCTGATCTCTCTCTACAGGTCCATTTTACTTTGAGAGTGATGTCCTGGTGCGCTTAGCTGGGGTCTCTAAAAGCTCCCGAGCTCTCTTGGTAGCTGATTTTGATGCACTGCGTGGCAGCAAGGCTGCCTGACTTCTCTTTGCAGGACTCTTTAATGCCCCGCTTCTTGTCAGCGCAGGTTCTTCAGCTTTCCTGCCTGATTTAGGAGATGCAGTTTTTGTTTTCATGTACTTTGTGGCCCTCTTTGAAGCATTACTAGGGCTCCCAGTCAAAGGGACTGCCGCCTCCATTTTTCTCTGGGATCTTGTTAGTACCTGGTCAGGTGAGGTGGGAACCTTGACCTCCATGCTCTGCTGTGGGGTTTCAACAACATTCTCGGTACCTTTGATATCAGCGACTGTAGTTTGTAATGATTCCTTTGTTTGGATTTTTGCAGCATTCACTTTATTCAAAGCAGGTTTATCCGCCTCTACTTTCTCTGCTTCAGTTTGCTTTTTATAATCGGCCTTGCTTTTAGATGCGTCAATGGGTTTGTGTTCAGATGTTTTGGGAGACCCTAGTCGCTCAGAACATCTCTTTGGCAATTCTTTTTTAATTGCATCTCTTGAAGCTCTGCTACTACCCTGAGCCTTGACTGCCTTCCCTTGAACAGGATGCTTTGTAGTTTTTCTACCGGCCAATGTTTTCCTTCCTTCCATTTTTGCAGCTTTCATTTGTCTACTGACAGGGATGGGTGATTTGTGTGCCTTCAGAGATGATTTTAGATTTGACTTAGCGGCAGACTTTGTGGTGGCCAGTCTTTTCATACTGTTTGTTCTTAAGGTTTTTGAGGCCTCTTTCCGTCTAACATTGGTTTGCTGAACCTGCATCTTCTCTCGAATATTAGAATATTTCCTCAATATCCTTGCACTAGCTGGATTCTTTGATTTACCAGAGGATTTCTGGGATTCGCCTATCTGTACACGGGCTTTGGAGGACCGTGACTTACTCAAAGTCTGAGTAGTACTTGGAAGTTCTCTTCTCTCTTTCCCTTTGACTGCATATGCTTCTTGCTCCAGTGCTTTAGCAATCAGTTTCTGACTCTTAGGGTTGCTCTTTACAGGGGAGGCAATGGCAAATTTTTTCAAATGTTTCTTTAGGCGCTCTGCCTGCAGGCTTGGAAATACCCCCTGAGAGGTTCCTGAAGCACTAGACGAGCTGTGGAAGCAGAGCTGAGTTTCTGATGGAAGACGTGTATTCACCTTTTTGACAATGACAAGGGACTTTGTTTCTGTTGATTCTAGGAACCAACGACAAATACTGGTGAGATTAAAACCTTTCATGAAGAGCATTTGGACTGGCGAGTATTTCTGGTGCTCTAAAGACTTCGTTTTTCGTGCCCTGCGTTTACTTTTCCATATAGCTGCCTGTCTGTCTGCTTTGTTTTTGTATTTTGTCGTTGGCTGACCCTCTTTGTCCATTTGCACCCAACCTTTTTGCATTTTATCATACTTAATGTTCAGATTTGAAATGAGATGTTGGTTTTCTTCTCCTGTCAGAGTCTCAAAGAATGTGTTAGTTTGTTTTGGGGGCTCGTGTCTTGGCGTAATGATAGGGAGAGCTGAGCTGTGTGGCAACCCAGATGCAACAGATGACACTGTAGGGGCCTTCAGCTGAGCTTTAGTTATTCTTTCTGGCATTTTTTTGATAGGGGAGGCTACGTCACTCTGTCTTCCAGCCTCAGCACTGGTAGAAGGTGCAGCCAGTCTTTGTGATCTCAAAGCTAATTTCTTGTTGTCCATTTGTGGTGACTGAGTAACAGACTGGTTTGACATTTCAGGCTTACTACTCTCACTCCTTAATGGCATTCTTGTGGGTTTCTCTGACATGGAAGAACTGCTATCATCTCCACTTGCAGACCTGTCTCCTAAAGATGCTACATTTGGTTTCTGTGGCCCGGACTCATCACTTCCTTCTGCCTTCTTCCGGAGAACCTGTTTACTTCTTAATGGCATAATCTGTGTTTGCATGTCAGTCTTTACAGCACTTTGAGTTTCTAATGGACTTGATACCTCACAGCTAAGTTGCTGTTTCTCATTCTTACTATCGTCTACTACAGCCTTTGCAGACCTTAGTTTTTGTTTGGCCTGCAATCTACTTTCACCTTCGTTTTTTTGTGTTTCTTCAGACGTGGTCTCTACTGGCACAGTTTTCTCTATGTTTAATTCCACAGTTGTCTCAGGGACAGTGTTCTGTTGGGACTGTTCGGGGGCTACAGGGGAAGATGAGCTGATTGGAGAAGCAACAGGAAGCGGAGATGGAAGGGGGAGGGACGGGGAGGGGGGAGGGGAGGTGCTCTGTAGATGGAAGGTCGTGGGTAGCAGTAGGTTTTGGAAGGGCATGGGTAGCACTAGGTTTTGGAGATGAAATGAAAGTGACAGCACTTGAAATGGGCGGTGACACTGGGATTTCAGTAGGTCTCTGGCCAGCAGATCTAAGCTGCCGTCTGGACTCAGTGCTCTGTGGACGATCACAAGGCTGATCAGAGAGAACAGGCAAACTATCCTGATCTCTCTGAACTCTCTTTTGTTTCTGGATTTGTTTGGTCCTTGAGGGAAATTTAGATGTTGGGCTTGGTGGTGTGGCAGAAGATGGTGTGGCAGAAGATGGTTCTTTCACCGGATTTGTCTCAATCGATTCTACAGGTATATTTGTTTCAGGTTGATGTTTGTCCAGATTTTCGTCTTGAACATCTGAGTCAATAGCTAAATCAAGAGAAGTCTTGTTGGGTACGTTCGGACTAGATTTCACTTGGGTTTTATTAGGTGATGTGCTGCTATTACTTGATCTAGGACGCAGACTTCTGTCAGAAGCCGATACGGGTCTACCGTTAACATAACCCACTACCATTTCACCTGTTTGTTTCAAATGCTTTGGCGACGTAGTTACAGCACCTCTTTTTCTACGCCAAGGGGGTAATTCCTTCAAGAGCACGTCCAGTGTCTTTGAAGACAAGTCATAGTTGTTATCATTACCATCTTCAGAAACCATTACACTGTCAACTGCTTCAGATGCTTTCATTTCTGGATCTTTCACCATCATCTCCTCTTCTGAACCTGTGATGTTAGAGTCTTCTGTCAATTCAAAGTCGTCATAGTGTATCTGAGTCTCTGGCTGAAGTTCCTGAGGTTGCTCATCTTGTATTTCCTCCCTTTTATTTTCCTCAATTTGTGCCTCAACTTGATTCACCGGTGATGGGACACAATTCTGCTGGAGAACAGGATCACTGTTGAGCATTTCATCTGATGAAAGCTGGGGCTCAGCTTCCTCAGTGGTAATATTCTCTAACGGTTCAAACCCTGTTTCTGTCACTATTTGCTCAGTACTTTCACACATTTCCTCTTGAGACCCAGGCTTGTTTTTGTTTTCTGCTTCAAATGGAGCCTGGGCAACACTTTCTTCACTTCCTTTGGTCATCCCTGAATCTACAGTAGTATCCTGTTCTACATTTGTGTTCATACTGGTTTCTTTGTTCTCTGTTGGGGATCTTATCGGAGATGATGGAAGAGACTGCCCCTTGCTCTGACCCTGATCTGTCTGACTAGTTTCAACTATAACATCTACTTCACTGGCTGCTGCTTCCACCATATCTCCTGTTCCTGGTATCACACTCTCATCTGATTCTTCTGTGGACATCTGTTGACTCATTGACTCCCTGCATGCTCCAGCAAAAGGCATATCCACAGGTGGTACACCTTCAGGCTTTGAAAGTATTTGTTTTGGGGTGACCAATGTCATCAACTCTGGCATTGGATTAGGACAGTTGCCCCTTCCAGCCAATGTACGGACAGTTTTTACCTCCCAGATTTCATCTGAATACAAGTGTCCTCTGGTGCTTTTTCTGGCATTGCGGCGTGGGATCTTGCTGCACTGCTGATCATTTATACGCGCTGTAATTGGTTTATCAATAAAAACAATGTCACAATGGCCAAGATCAGGGTCAACCAGCCCCCTACAAGGTGTGTCCCTGATCCGATGATCAGAGGATGCCCTGATGGTCTTCCTGGCAGTTCGTGGAGAGTCCGAAGGAATTGTCATGTGGACGGAACATGACACTTTTGCTGGTGTATCTTTGGCATGTCCGAGAGTCTCTCTCTGCCTAGCTTGATGTGTGTGACTAGACTGATTGTGTCTTTTCGCAGAGGAACTGAGTCTAGCAGTATGAGTCTCTGTTCTGTTGGATGAATTTGAGTTTCCCTCTCTGTCCTCCAAAGTATCAGAGTGACATGAAATAGAGGTGTTGAGCACACATGAGAACTTCTTACTAACGTTGCTGGTCATGATTTTCATCTTAAGGGGTGCATGATCACCATGAAGGTTATTGTCTACATCCACTGGGTTAGCGGCGGGGGTGACCGAAGCCTGGTTATTCCCTGACCCAGGGCTGCGAAGATCCAAAACAGCGCTAGTAGTAACAGATGTTTTCAGTGACACTGCATTCTCTGGAACTTTATTCATTGCACGGCTGCTTGGGATAGAATGGAACATATCCTGGACTTCTGACTTGGGAGTGGATTCACTGGGAAACCCACGCTCAGACTTTTCAGGAGTGACTACACTGGATTTTACAGTGGAACAAGTGGTTCCCTGGATCCCAGAGGTAGAGTAAGAGTCTTGTTGTGTATTGGAAGAAGTGAGTGCTTTGACCTCTGTCTGTAGAAAACCTATGGCATCTACTATTTGTCTCTGGTGGTGGGGGCAGAGTTTGGCCATGAACTGTTCCAGTGTGGAGGTGGACTGCAGGTCTTTTGCCTTTGTAACACCCATGTCTGGAGACTCCCTGGAGGAAAAAAAGAACAAAATGGATGTAATTGCACATAAAAAAAAATGGGCAATGTTGATTCATAGTATTGATTGTAATGTGATTATTATATTCATGCAAAAAAATTCTTCATTGGTACAAGCCCTTAATAAAATTGTCAAGACGTGGTGGAGCAGAATGTTGAAATAATCGTGTGAAATAATTCACAAATTACAATGTTTATCATTGCATATTTATTAGAAGAATAGGTGATTTTAAAAGTGAATATTTCATCCAGTGAACATTACCAATTACATTGTTACAGCTATTACATTTTTCTTCTTTGAACAGTGGTTCTTTTTGTTACAGTATACGTCAAGAAAATTTTGCACATGCACAACACATTTAGTAATGGTGGCCCACTTTGATTAAAACAAGTCAATCACATATTTATTACTTAAAAGACCAAATACATTAGGGGGAAATATAGAGAACATTATTTTTGTCAAGTTTTCATGTATTTAATGACTAGTGCAAAGGGTGACATTTAGATACAAGTGCTCAACAACTTGAGACACATTAACCAGTAAAAGAAAAATGAAACGTGACTGAACAGTCACTCTAATTCTATTTAGTCTAATACCTGTGAGGCTTTGTTTTTGCCAATGCAAATCTAAAGTCAACTGGGGCCATGGGTTGTATTTTTGGCTTAAGTTTTGTCAGTGAGGTAGGTCTATTACAAAATCCTCCGATAACCTTGGAGCATTAATACCATCACATTATGCCAAAAATATATTTATCTTACAACTCTAAGCCTTGCCTAGCTACACTGTGGTCTTTTAACAAGAAAATGAACAGACAAATGAAACCACATCTCAATTCCTGAGGTGACATGTCACAAGGGTATGATGTGTAATGAAAAAGACTAATATCTTTGCGTACAGCGTGTACTGCAGAGCAAGAACTGCTGGCAACTGTAAGATGAACACAGTTATAAAAAAAAGCTCTATTGACTCATGTTTGTTCAAACCAGATAACTGCAAACCAACATTATTATTACAACTATAAATAATACTACTTTGCCAAATCGTATGCTACAAATAGTTTTATTTTAACATAGTAAAGTTGAAATCTGATACTTTTCCCATGTTGCCACCTTTAAGCTATAGCAAAGATAGTGGCATATTATAGTGGAAGTGGAATTATCAGGCTTGCTGCATAGCCTCTACTCAGTGTTAGTTTACAGTTATGTAGAAAAGTGAAATGTGAATGCAGATTTATTTATTTTTTCTTTGTTGAACTTTTCAATATAGGCAAATTTGTCTGTTATAGTGTTAGTATACTCCAACAGATGCATGGACAAAACAGAATAGTGTTACGTTACGGGTTTCAGCTTTAAATCTCCAAGGTTACAATACAGCCTTTGAGATGGGAGGCCTGCATGCTATAATGAACGTACAGTAAGTTTTAGGATGTTACACTGTGCTTTAAATTAATTATGTGCCGTTTGGATGCACTGACCTGGAAAGAAACTTGTTAATTAAATACCCATTAGTCAACATCTTACCTGCACTGAGGCTATACTGACATTCATAGTGTAACAAAGTATAAAAATAATAAAACAGTGAAAAGATGTACTAAGGTTTTTTTTTTTGTGGCTCCAACCAAACTTTTTACAGCACACCAAAATATCTCAAATGGAAATTTTAGATTAAAATATACATTTTAGAGACTAAAAAAATAACATTTGTTGCAACTGGAAACTGACAAATGTTTTTGCTAAGCTCAATAGCTTCACATCCCTGCTTGCAAGGTCTAAGGAGTATAGTGGAGTACCTGAATAATAAGTGGTAAGTGTTTCATCCCTGAGGGTTTGTTCTCTGTTTCATTTTGCATTGCAGTAAGGAACTGACACAATGTACATGCCTTTTTCTTCCAGAGGAATAAAATAACAAATCTAACAAGCGGAAGCAAACCAAATTACAACTCAATTCCACAATATTTCACAAGCACACAAACACGGATGTTTTAACCCATCTGCAATGTTCATATACTGTACAGTAGGGATATAAATCTGGTAATTACGAACCACTGTATGGGGGACTTAATCATACATCTTTAATGAACCCTTAAACAGATTTTGAATGGGTTTAGCTATTTCAGGTTCAGCAGTATTTCAGGTTCACACTTAATCTCTTAAATACATTGTTGCCTTGGTGGAAGATACAACAACACTCCAGTATTTTCAACTTATACAACCATATACAACTAACTTCCCACTGACACATATGATTCAGTCCAATCATGCAAAATATACCCAGTGTCATTCCTTTGTACATTGTAAATGTACAATCAAATATACAAAATCTATATATACTTTTTTATGGACATGGATACTCTTTAGTCATTTGAAGAGCCACACCATTTGCAGTTGTGTAAAGACTTTTTTCCTCATACATTATATTTACCACGCAAAAGATACCCAACTTTTGGTGTGAAGAGGGATCTTAAATGTTATCCCATCACATCTATCACATTAAATATACATTTTAAGCATTATCTACTTATGTCTATAAAACATCAATATGAGGAACTTTTTGTTTCATTAAAGCCATTTACATTCATGGTTACTTAAGCGATGAAAAAACCATTAATTAATAAATATCGATTAATAAATACTGCATTAAGAAATTACTCCAAAGCATATTAGGTTGAGTCCGTATGTAAGGGGAAATTAACTCTTCCCCCACAAAAAGAAACTAAACGTTTTTTCTCCAAAGCAGAAGATCATCAAAAATGCTTTTGTGAACTGTCTGAACAAGCCCCCTACATCGCTTCATCCCCACCCCAAAAAGAAAAAAGAATTTAGACGAAGCAAACATTAAGTAGATCACGGTGCAATTAACTACAAAGATACACTGAAATATTTACATATGGTCAAACTTTAGATAGATATTCTACTGTCTTATATCAACTTTATGACAGCTCAAGCTATTTGCCTTACTCAAAACAAAATCTACAATAGACTGTGTGTTGTGTACATGAGAAATTGCTACATAAAACAGCTATGAAAACAGTAGTAGTCGTAGTAGATGTGGGTTTTCTAGATGAGGTAGTCAACCATTAGATTTGCTACAATAGACAATGAGGAGAGCAAAAATGTGTTTTACCTGTCAATAAAGCCAAAGTGCTTGTATGTTTTTAATATATCACTTAAAATGCATTTAACACTTTGAATGAGAAAAGGTGTGACTTGAGTAATGCTGGATGATTGTCAATGCGTGAATAATTAAATTAATGACAGCAAATTAGTGACTAGATTTTACTTAATTGTACATTGTGTACTAGAAGTAATTGCTTAGTTTAATTTTTTTCAACTGAAGCCAAATTACTCCGTCATTTTGTGAATATGTGTAACCATTATATGCAATTTAGAGTGGTTAATCGGTTACAAAAAAATGACGATTTTTCACTTAAAATGGAGCAGAAATGCAAACATGAAAAAACCAAACCAATACTAAAAAAAATCTGCATTTAGAGCAAGAAGTGACAGAGTGACATAACTTATACTATTGTTACAGTGCTATCAACATAAAAGTCCCTGAACTATATTTTACTTCTGAACCAACTCTTACCCAAAAATGTTTACAATCTAGGTAATTTTGTGTAATATATGACTGCCAATATAATATCCGTGTTAAATGCTTGCAGTTAAGGAATCCTTTTTTTAATCAAACTATTCATGTTTATCTAAGCAACATTGTACACATCTAAAACGGTTGCAAGATTTGCAAAAAATAATTACCAAGATTTGCTAGATCTGTTTATCAACCTGATACAAGAATAATGGGCCATGGTCCCATATTCTGGAATGTCCTGAGGTATAAGTGATAATGCAGAATGAGGTGTGGTGGTAAAATAATGGACGAGACAGAGTCAATCCTCTTCCTAGTCCACCAGGCAAAAATTAAATGAAAATGGCTTGTTAGTAGTAGCAGTATTGATTTCAACGAAATGGCAATCGACCTGAGTTTTGGTATAGCCACTTTACACAGAAACATCTCAAGGATATGGTGGAAGGAAAGGCAAGTCTTAACCCACATGATCATGTGGTTGGCTTTAAGACAATTATTTTCTCCAGTGAAAAATAAATAAATTCATATTAACTGCAAACTATGATCAACAAAGTTACTAAAAAAAATAATCACAGAAAGTCTGTAGTTGCCTGTAACTGCACAAAAGGTAATCACAAGCAATAAACAGTTAATATAAGTGGACTTTCAAATGCACTGCAGCCTGAGATAATATTTTATTTCCATTAATTATCACTTTTCCTCTCGACAGGGATGAAAAAAATATTTTCACTGAATTTCTGCCTTAGTAACTTGAGAAATAGGTAGGGGTGGATGGAGGCATGATTGTAACAGTAGCTCACAAGTTAACTAACCTGACTAGCTAGCAAATGTCAGCAAGCTAGCAGTCAGCCACTCTGTAGGCTCTGTATGCTGATATTGCTTGATAAAGTTCTGTTTTTTAAAATAAACAATAAATAATGACTTTATGAGAGCTTCTAAAACTGACAATGCTGCACCTAGATTTTTTTGACTGACATGAGGACAGGACTGATCTTATTTTCTTGTTTACCTGAACTTTTAAAAATACCTGAATGAACTTTAGGTAGGCGTTAGGATTTATCTGATACCAAGAGTTTAGCTAAAGCACTGTTTGTGACTGTGAATAATTAGGGATGGAACGTAGCATCATCCTCACAAACCATACAAGTGTTTAAGCTGAAGAGTGAATTCATTATCATGTGCCATAGGCAAGCAAAATGTCTTTGTACAATACGTTGTACATATGTAGGAAAATACTGACAATGTTTTTGCATTATTTTGATGATCAAAAGAAAAATGAAAATTCTGCCTTTCTCATGGTCTTACAGAAAGATATCCCAGAGATAATACCTGCAATCTGAAAAAGACAAGCCCTAAATCACACAGAACTGAAATGCTCTGAAGGCTTACACTGGCACTGAAATGCTACTGGTAACTAGTTAAGGAAGGTTGTGAAGACATCTGAGAGTAGGGCATACATACTTGTCAGTACGACATCCTGAAATATTACCTCAAAAAAGGGAGTATTTGGGTATGTTAACCCTCCCCATTAGAGGTGACGCTAACACAAGGAAATTATTTAATTTAGCATATCTGTATCTGAGGTATATTTGTGTGTGTACAGTGAGCTTTTGACTGACAAGTACTGCATCCCAATCTGAATGTATCCTGAGTGCAGTGAAGGCAATGAAAAAATAAAAATAAAACCATTCATAAAGCAAAGTAAAACATAAAAAAAAAATTATATATATATTATGTGACAAGACGTGTCATGCTTGTGAAGATAAGCTTAATTTTGATTCAATAGGAAAGTGAACTTCTGGACAACACATGCTATTCCAACAAGCTGAAATAATAGATACTTTGAGTATAATAGTGTTTGGACATGCTGATTTTTGTCCATTTGAGTTATAGAAGTGCATTTGCAAAACAGTGACGGAGACTTTCACTGTCATCTTTAAACACGTTATAATAATGGGTGCTTAATATGCTTTCACCTATAATTGGAGGGTCTATATTCACACAGCAGAATTAAGTGCTCTGAACAGTACTGAGAGAGGTCACTGAGGGGCGCCACCTCCTTAGACATGATTCAGTTTGGCTGTGTGTAAAGACTACATTTATAGAGATAGGAATGGCCGTTTTTAAAACATAACCTAAATAAATAAACTAAATTAATGATCAATATACTGTAGTATATGAAAATTCTTAACAAATAGCAAGTATGCCTTCCAGGCACAACAAGTAGGTCAGGGGGACACTTTGAGTGTTTCAGATAAATGGCCATACACAAACATATTAATGATCAAAAGTAAGGGGCACAATTGAATAAGTTAAAAATAAATATGGGTGTTTTTGATTTAAATGTTACACACATGTATTAAAGTTTTATGGAAAAACAAGTCAGCTACAACCACTGTCTGGCAAATGCAACATCTGTCTGGTCAAAAAGTACATCATTATTAGTGTTTAACGGTTATATCACTCATTTGATGAGAGGCTTCCATCATGGAAATCATTCCCATTCTCTTCAGATGTACACTTTCCTTTCTCAGAAACAGTGGGCTGGGAGTTTCGGAAGTCATTCCTCTCGGGGGGCTGTGAAACATGCTGTTCCTCTACCTGACTTAACAGCTTCAGTTTCTTTTTGGGGGGATGTTTCAAGGTCCCCAGTCGCTCTTTAACTTTGTATTCCAGTGTGCTGTGTGGAATGCCATAGATCGATTGGGCTTTAGACACACTCATTTTTCCACCCATCACTACCACAATAGCCTCTTCAAGCAGGTCAGTGTTGTACTGTCGATATCGCCCACGTTTCTTCCTTGGCTGCTTGTTACCTAGGTCTGACTCTGAATCCAAAGGATAGTTTCCCCCCAAGGCCTGGCGGTCAGTGTCATAAGGCCAGTATTCCTTCTCTGAACCTGAGATACTGCTCTTTTTCTGGAACTGCCCAGGTAGAATGGAACGAAGAGTCTTTCCCAGACCGTTCTCACAAAGCAAACCTGAATACTCAGCGGACAGGGAATCCAAAGATGGGTCTGTTCCTGTGGCCAAAACCCGCACCTGGGGAATCTTGAGGTCAAAAGATGGTGACTGAGAAAGGGAGAGGCTTTGGTCGCTGCAGGCCACCTGGAGGTTTCCTTTCTCATAGGCAAGTGACTTTGTCAGAAGTCCCGCAGCTTCCAACAACCTAGGTATGTCTTTAAGGCGCTCACTAGCCTCACTGTTGGTTTTGAGTTTGAGGAGGGCCCCAAAATGTATTTTGGAATTCCAGGAAGCAGATCCATTTCTGAAAAGGTTAGTGGGTCTGAAGCTGTGGTTATGGCTGAGAGGTGACTCTGGGTCGCTCTCCAGATCGGCCTCCTCTTTGATGTGCAGCGAGTATGCAAGAGATGAGGAAGGCTTATAACGGTTGGAGTGGCCGATATTCTCCCTCCTCCCATCCTGTAGGCTCTTCATAAACAGCCCGACTTGTCCGTCCGCTCTCAAGGATCGCCTGATTGGATGGAAGGAAATTGGGTGTAAGCAGAGCTTGCACAGTGCCTTTTTTCTCTTTTCTAAAGGAGGATGGGTTGGGGAGGGGAGGATGTTGGCCACTCCTTTATTATATGACCTTGCTTTGGTAACATCACTATCTTTTAAAATAACTGACTGTGTGGCAGTGTGTGTGACTTTTAAGAACAAAAAAGGCTCAAGTTTGACAATTTTTTTATTTGCTTGCTGTGATGATTGTTTACAAAATTTGCATCAACATAAAAAATAAGAAACAGAAAGAAAGGGCAAAAAAACAGTGGAAATAAAAGCAAAGAAAAGGGCATTTATTGAAGTACATAAAGGTCTTCTTGTGGCTCAAAAAGCTTAGCCAGAAGGAGGGATTATTTGTCATTGTAGTAAGGCAGCTTGGCAAGTAGCTGTTAAGCAGGGCACAATAGCTACGCCATACAAAATGACTAATGCAAATAAAGCTCTTGACATTTTGTGTGTGACGTTACCACTGAACAAGCACAGCAATAAAAGAGTAAGCCAGTAGAGGGTGTTGTGTATCAAACCTATGTGTGATCACATAAAGGAAAACAAATGGGGTGGGGGGGTGGGGGGAGAGTGTTTTTTTCAAATGCAAAATTATAAATGAATCTTCAGTAATTGCATAGACTAGGGTGTCAAATGGCCCAATTCATTATTAGAATCTAAATTGCTTCATTTTTCTTGTATATTTTAAAGTAATTTATTATTATTATTATTATTATTATTATTATTATTATTATTATTATTACTACATAGACTTTAAAGGTGGATATAGTTCATATAGCTACTAACAATTTTTATCAAACTCATCTGCTCTCAAATGAGCACAAGAGGAGAATGCAAAGCCACTGATGTATAATCTAAATACATTTTTAATTATAGGCACATTCATGTCCAGATGAGTATCAAGAGGCTTTCCTCTGATGGAAAACAAAACAGAACCAAACAACAAAATAGAATATTCAATCAAGTTTAAATAAAGATTGACTAAAATGTTTGATTCATTTAAGAATGAAACAAAATTTGTCTTCAGAGAATATAAATAAAATTGGACATACAGACCTATTATTTGGATGAACGACATCAAAATGTATTTATTGGAAGCATGTATGATTTAAAAACGTGTTTCCAGCATTACAATAGTTGCTATAACAACAACTGAATGCTAAGTTTCCTTGGGAGAGGAACATGGCGTGAAAATGTGAAATTATTTAAATTACTACTATGTTACTTCCTTGAGAGTTTCTGAGCATTCTGTTAAAATGAAAAAGTGGATCTACTCTCCACTGCATTTGTTCAGGGCTTCAGTCCTCAAGAAGCAGTTTTTCATGGTGTTATTTATCCTGGAATCTGTTCCAGTGGTCTATGGTGATCTTTTGACGAGGTGTTGTTGTCGTCGTCGTCATCATCATCATCATCATCAGATGATCAAAGCCATGCTAACAGAATCCTTTTAAGCCACAATAAAAAATGCTGTCCATTCAGTGAAGAAATGAGGAGCAGGCAGCTGCATTAACTTCTTAAAGTCTGCAAGGTGATTAATTCTGAATGACAGCATGATACAAACCGCATCCACTCAGATACGCTGGAGCAGCAGAAGCACATGGAAGATTTCCCTCTGTTGCAGTTGGTAAAACTCCTTTTCATGTTTCTTTGTGGCAGGAAACTTTTCTGTTAGCACAACCCTGTTTGTTGCTGTTCACGTTTTTATCAAGTCACCAACTGGCTGAGTGATCTCCAATTTCAGGCCTCAAATTTCAGGCCTCAGCTAATGCCTGGGCACCAATGCCACTACACATAACCTGTGTGCAGTAATCCAATTGAGTCCAAATAGATTTTGAGGTTATTCTAGACTACAATGCAACATATCCTCAAAAACATTACCTAAGGACTGGAGACTAAAGAGACAAAGAGAAAGAAACTCATCTTACCCCTTGAGTGCGGCTGTAGCTGGAGAAAGGCAGGGACTATGAACAGGCAGGCTGCTGCTATAGCGATTCTTTTTGAGAGATAAGTCAAGAACTCCATCTGTTAACAAAAAGGCAAGAAAAACTCAATTAAGAATAAATGTTCAGTTCAGACTGGCCTATCACCAGTGCACTAGTTCTGTCCTGTATTAGCTGCTCTGTTACAGATGTTTAAGTTCACACTACCTTGGTCACTAGGCACAACCAGGGGCTTCTTGATGGTGAGGTCAAGAGGAGCATCCTGGTCAGCCATGAGGAGCTTGCTGAGGACGGGGTTCTGGTTGTGTGCAGGCCCAGCCACAGTGGCGGCAGGGCTGGTAGAAGGAGGAGCCCCTGAGAGCAAGGGTGGGGTCGGCAGGCTTTGGTCAGAGTGAGGCTGGGAATCTGAGCAACTGTCCTGAGGGGAGCTGGTTTTTGAGGTATATTCGGCAGCAAACTGTCGGATCATTCTGTGAAGGATCTCTCGAGCCACTACTGGAATGTGTGGGTCCGAGAAATTTGGCACATCTGAAAGGGGAAAAAAAATACGGAGATAAGAAAAGGTTAAGTTTGCATTCCTTTACAAAGTGATAAGTCATCATTAATAAACATTCACAACAATGAGTGCAAAGGTATAGTATGTGTTGTATTTATTAAAATCAAATAATTCAAAAAACTAAATTAAAACTACATTATTTATATATGTTAAGGGTAAGTTTAGTTCCTTGTCAGAAAAAATACAAAAAATATATATATAAATTCATATAAATGCCATGCCATTTTGCATAGGCTGCTCACCTTTTCTGGAGAGGACTGCATTGAGAAATTCCTCTGCTTGTTTTTCTAGTCGGCTGATTGTGGTCTGATCTTTAACCAGGAGAGGTTTGGGTGGATCTTCAAGCCCTGTGTCGCTTAAACCAATTAAGTGTTCCTGTCAAATGACAAAACTGTTAAGTCCTGTTACATTAGCTATGTTCAGACTGCAGGTACAAGCGACCCAAATCTGATTTATTTTTCTCTTATGTCACTCAGATCTGATTTTTTCTTACCAGTGTGAACAGCACAAATCACGTAAAATCTGATCTTTAAAATACAATTTTAAAAAAATCTGGACTGTACCTGATTTGGGACCACATCTAAAAGTGGCCTAAATCAGGTACAACTCAGATTTTTTGCAATCCGACCTCAGGCTGAACAGTCATATTTGCCTGAAGTGTCTTGTACGAGAGTCTTGACGATTTTGGATGAAATTTGTTTCTGTGAGGCCATTCACATCACATTTCCAGCACTCCTGGTTCAGCATTCACACAAACCTCCATACAGAAGTAGCAGTTTTTCCTCCACAAAAAGCCATAATTAAAATTTGGCTCCCTTTCTCCACATCCTCGTCCTTATTGCCATCTACTCACAAATTAGCTGGCTTCCACTGCAAATAACTTAAAATATAAATTCTAAATATAAATTAAACCGCAAACGCTAACTTCAGGGGCATCCATGTTTATTTCCGTACAACAGCGTGGTGTGTGTGATGTCGTGTTTGTTGTTCTTTGGTACATGCATGGTAATTCAGGACTGTGACCTGTTCACACTGGAATCTGATATTGGCCACATTTATAATGTGAATAACCAAACAAAAAAACATTCATATCAGAATTGAGCACCAAGGCTAAAAACTCCTGGGGCAAGATGAAGCAGAAGAAGAGGAAGAACTTTATTATTCCTAAATGAGAAAATTTTAAATGTAAAGAAAGAAATAGAGAAAACAAGAAATCTTACCTTTACTTTGTCCCGTCTAAAACAGCAGAATAGACAGTTTTCATCAAATGACCAGTCAGACACTGCTGTAGGCTCAAGGTCTGTGGAGACAAAATAGACAGCAGGCAATGAGATACAATTGTGTGACAAATCTTTTTTCTTTAGTTTTTCTAAACAATGTATATTTTATGTGAAAGACTCTCAAACCAGTGCCTCAACAGACAGGACAACTGGGGCAGGGTCTGGATAGATAACATCTATCACACAGTTATAGCAACTATTGTTCCGACATAAAACATGTCTTGGGGCAGTGGTGGTGTAGACCACCATAATGCTTGAACCCAGCTAATTGCTGTCTCCCTCAAAGCACAGGAATAATAAAACGTTCCACTGCCTGACTGATCAACATATCATATATTTGGTTTTGTTCATCACTGTTCTGTCTCTTCCTGCATTATCACCAACACAACAACCATATTGTCTAGACAGCGCAAGTAGGAAGCATCATGCAAATGGTTCTGTTTGAAACCTGCAGTGTCCTATGTTCAATTTCAATCTAATATTCTTCAGAAAACAACTCAATTATGAAAAAAATGTATGAATGAAATGAATGAGCGGGCCATAATGAAAGTGCTTTGATTTGTTGTACTGAGACTGACTCAAATTACCATCGTCACCAATTGCTATTGTATTAAATACCACTTAAACTTTCACAGTACACTCACTGCAAATGTAATGAAAACTCAAATAATGCCCACTATTGACTCCCTAACATCATGCATTGTAAAAATGTCTGTAGGACACTGTAGACTTCTACACTGGCCCCACGCCATCCAAAACACCAACTTTGTAGGAACACAAGGCATCTTCTCTTCTGCAGCCAGAGGCTGTCTTGTAGAGTGAATGTAGAGGGGTACCAGATGGTACAACGCAGCAGCATTGTCATAATGAGCAGATAACAGATTATGCTCAAACCAGAAAATTGACATTCATATGTTTGATCATGACCACTATTATGAAAATTAAAATAGTCTGAAATGCTTACCTTTAAATAATTTTAGGTCTTCTACCAGCTCCGGACCAGAGAGACCTTCGAGAATGCTCTCAAAACCTGAGGAAAGACATGAAATAAATAAATAAATATGCAGTGGTCAGTGGTATCATACAAAAGCAAACATATTTTGACGTAACATTTGTTTTACCCCAATTAAGGCGGAGGGACCAAATTAATTTTTTGTATTAAAAAAAAAAGTTAGAGGCTGGTCTACTATTCATCACTGACATTTCATGTGATAATGTCTTTCTTCTATTCATGCAGGCACGTCTTTGGCAGTCTATTTCATCTAGACAATCCTTGTAAAACACCATACGCTTCTGTTAAAACACATATCAGTTTTCACCCTAGGTTTTTACTTCAACAGTAAATGCATGCACTCCATCTTCCTGTTGCCAAGCAACTAAAGCACCTACAGAGTTGGGAGTGACTGCATGTTGTAATATTAAAAAGGAAACAGGCAGAAACAAGACTGCTAGGTGATGCCGTTAAAGTATCCTATACAATTTTGGAGACCAGGAATTCAGCCGAAACCAAATCATTACAGTCCACTAAAATTACAGTTTACTGTTAAGAAATAGCAAAATACCCTACATTACATATGCAAGCTGAAGAAAAATCTCATGCATTACCAACAAGATGGTGATATCTTACAGTCCCAGCTGTTTCAAAGATACAGTACGTTATGCAGCTGCATAGGACTTCGCTCAACAGTGCATTAACACAATATGCAATGTCTGCTTACTGCCGCAGGGTCAGTTTAACCAATCCAAAAGCCCTACATGCATTAAATCAGGCGCTAAAGAGGTCAGAGGTAACATCTGTCTACTGAACTGGATCTTAAATGAAACAGTGCACCAATTCCAATGTGTTAGACACAAAAATGCTAAAATCTCATGAATCAAAGCCTTCTGACACAAAAAAAACCCATAACAGATGGCAGTTAAAAAGCAACGCAAAACACATATACATAAGTAGAATTTAAAATTTTAAATATGAAGTTAGTCAAATGTGTTTAATGGGTCATCTAACTACACAACATAGTAAAGGCCTACTCACAGTATGTCTTCACAGATAACAAGTGAGAAAATTATCAGCCCATAGCATCCACTCTGTTCCTAAACTCAGTGAATTCAGTAAAAGCTGTCATCTGTTAAAATGCCCTCGCTCTGCTTCCCTACAAATTCCCACCCACTTTTCAACAGCCAAACATGAAGAGGGGTGGGGGGTGGCAATGGGTGAAACACTGCCTTGCCTATAGCTGCAGCGCGAGCCTGTTTCTGGGTTAGTGCACAGGACTTCAGCTGGAGCTATCCAATCCTATTTCTGAAATATTTCAGAGGCAGGGGAGAAAAGTAGGTCATCCACTTTCGTTTGACAGAGCAGCACCATGACATCAAACTACTCTTCAGGAATTCAGTTTAGGGCATTTAAAAATGTGTCATACTGTCAACCATGACTTTGAGGCAACATTAACACATTCCTACTGACAGAGCATTGTATAGTGGCTGATGAAAAGAACTTCTTCACAAAAGCCTCTTTAAAACAAAACCATTTTGGGACTAGCAACTTAAATTTAAAAAAGAGAAAGCTGCCTATATGTGCAATAAATAAAATATGCAAGCTCTACAAAATAAATGAGCGTGAAAAACAGCGAATAATGGCCACAATTAAAATTCACAATGAATGGAATAAAAACACCAACATTTCACTGTATTGAGGACCCTACACTAAACTACAGTTCCCATATTTTTGCACTTTTTGTTGCAGGAATAACACCTTAATGTTAACTTTAAAAGGAACATTCACCAATTAATTATGCTGAAGAGTGAATTAGGCCATCTGGTTTGATATATAGTGATCGGCCTCAAGATACAATAAAAAGAGTATAGAGGTACAAAGTGATAATGAGAAAGAGAAAAAAAGGAGCCTGGTATTATGTGCCACCGGGCTTAACACCTAATTATATCAAAACTTAGCAAGAAATAATGAAAAGACAGTCCGGACAAAGATATCAGGTTAATGAGGCTGACAATCCCCTAAAAATGGGAGTAAAAACACACCTACAGGCCTAATTGCATAGACAACATGTCATTGAACCTCATTAGAAGACTTTGTCTTTTATCCTATAACTGTAAGTGCATATCTTTTTTTCCCTGATCTTTTTTTTTTTTTTTTCTTCAAACTGGAGTAGAGTCAGTCATTAATGTCAATCATGTTGCTCTAATTGAGGAGAATGATGATTCAAGACCATTTTGCTATTTTCAGCCCTTGTTGGTTTGTTTTTTGTTTACTCCAAATACATACTGTGGCTTGCCTCTAGGCAATTTAGAGTGAAGGCATCTCTCAGTTCTCACAGAGGTATGCTGAAATTCAAAATGAAACAACATACCAAGAGTCTAAGCTGAAATGGAAAAATAAATCAACTTTGTTCTGGAGAGCATCTACTTTTTAGATACAAACTACAAATTATTCAAAACAAAGTTTCTCCTTTCAACCATGAAATAAGGAATAATAATTATGATCTAACAAAAGATGTATGGCTCTGTTTGTCTTACATCGCTGAAGCCGACATCATGCCCATTGTAATTGGTCCATTTTATATAAGAAAATAAAACATTATACTTATACAAAAGTATTAGGTCACAACTTTATATAGTATAGAAATGTTGAAAACCAAATTATCACTGATAACCATAGATTTAAAGTACAGTATTAATATAAAGCTGCAGTTCAATGCAGTCTTTTCATTCATACAACAACACCACGAATAGGGACCATTATTAAGATATTTTACTGTACTGAAGTGTATTTTTAATGTATATATATCTACTCTACTACTATCTAATTTGTCTGAGGCAGGCTTGGCTACAGGTAAACTCACATAATACTATGCTTATGCACCTGAGAAACCTGCTTTCAACCAAGCTTTTCCAGGCAGGAAAATTGTCAACAGGAGAGAAATTCCTCTTGGCCAAGAGAGATTTTTAGACAACCTAAATTTAGATTTAGGTTTGGTTTGATCTTAGAGACCATCAAAACTTCAGATGCCGTTACACTCCAACAAAAAGAATAAATGACAATGTAAAATCTGATTAAATTAAATTAATTTTCAAATTCTGGACAATTCAACAAATTTTGAGGCTTGGTATTTGATAAACTTAGGACACTTAAATGCCCTCTTTAAAAAGGACCTTGATGTGTACATTTGGTTAATAAAAGGTGTCCATTAGGGCTGCAATGTACAATAGTAGTAGTACTAGTTAATGTACATCTAATACATTTAAGTGATCGTTTTGTCAGTAGTAAAGAACCTTAATACTACTAAGCATCAGCAAAACCACATAAAAAGGAGGCAAGTAGGTAAATCTTAACTTTTGTGAAACTGTGAGCAGCATTGTTTGGATTTGTAACCATATAAATTAATTGCACAAACCCTCTTGTACTTGGGCAGATGACAAAATGTATGTCACACGGCCACGGACACCAGAATCTGGCTCTAACCCTTCTTTTGACCTCCATCGCTAGCCAATCCGAGACAGTCAGAGAGGAAAGAAGTGTGTCATCCTTGTCCTTCCTACCAGCACGTCGGAGAAATCCCACAGATCTAGGATCAGCTTAACCTCCCTAAATCCTAACACCTATGCTGTACGTCACTGTGAATTGAACATAATGCATGATAAACCCGTCTTTACTGCTTATTGCAGGTGCTATGTGGGTTGGTGGTGTAGCCAAAAGGTAAATTCTCTTATCAGCACTGGCTAACCCCCTTGACATTTTTGCAGTGCAAGGACATGACACAGTACAATGTGTTAAATTGAATATCGTGAGACAAATGAAACGGACAAATATGTGATTCAAAACAAACTCCAATTCTAGTTTTACATTCGTAAACAAGTCACCTAATTTTCCAGTGTCCTGCTCGACTATATTTGACTGTTGATACTGCTTGCAACCATTGTGCCACCACTTTAGTTATAGGAATTTAATGCCATATCTAAAGTGAGAGTAGGAGGATACTACATTGTGGAGAAAGTGGACAGAGACACTGGTTGTAAAAGTACACTACAAATCGCTGTCAGCTCACATCTCTACATGGTTCAAGAAGTATTGTCTTCACATAGTACATTTGCGGTGAACATATATTTTTTATGGTAACCTCAATGTAACTTTTAATTACTTTTACAAAGAGGATCCTTCCAGATACAATGCTTTACGTTTGCTGGGTGATCTTTGGTTAAAAATCTCTTAATTGTTAAATAGAAATGCATGTTTGTTACTGCAGTTCTCCAGGTCCCTTCCAGCAATGAGCCATGTAGCATTGTCTGTGGACAAAATGAATGGACCTGTCCACTTTTCTGCTACCCATGTTGCACCTGTTTTTCAGGTTTACTAGTAGTGTTTGATATTTTCTGAGAATAGGAAACCTATATACCTGGTGGGCAGCTGGGAGACAATATGTACAAACCCTGTCTAAATAAGAGGAACCTGAACATGAGTGTCTATTATTGCTACAACCGACCATCAATGTAGTAACCGACTGCAACCCCATAATCTCACTCGCCCTTTCCAAGGATGATGGAGAAACTGTGGTAGCTGTGAAACGTGTGAAAAACGCAAATGCCCCTATCTAGAGCCAGTGTTTGGTTTGTCCCTTTTGGGCTATTACAGAAACATGGAACATGGAAGAGGACCCATAGCGTCTGTAGATATAAACAGCTCATTCTAAGGTAACAAAAACATAACGATTCCCTTTTTCAGGTGATTATACACTAATGAAAACAACAAATGAATATCTTCTCCCAATAGAGCCTCCTGAACGTTACACACTGGACCTTTAAATTCTGAATCTACTTATTCTATGATTTATATATTCAATCTTTTTCAATAAAATGCTAATGCAAACATTTTGACTCATCATGGAACTGCAGTGCTCTTTCTATTTGATGGACCACCTTTCCCTGTGCCGCTCTAGTGCTGAGGGTGTACAGTGCTGCATCAACCCCCACTCAGCCCATCCCCCCTCTGTAACTACTGTACACATGCAATCTCAGAAGGAGTGACCACAAGCTTGCAGAACAGGAGCTTCCCTAAGCTCAAATCAGTGTTCCGTCAAAATAAACCTTGCTAAATCTGGCATCTATGGCTACAGCCTTTAGAAAGACTAGAGGGATTGGTCGTCAATAAATTTCTATCTTTTCAGACGGCATCATGTTTTAAAACCATAGCAATGTTCAGATTGTGTGCTCACGAGAGTATAATTATGTATGAAGAGGGTCACTGATATCCCTAAGCAATGCTCTATGATAGTGGTCCTATGTGTAACATTTAGAAAGGATCTATTGGCAGAAATTGAATATAATAGTCATAGCTATGTTTTTATTAGTGTATAATCATGTGAAAATAATAATCCTTATGTCGTCGTCTCCTTAGAAAGAGCTGTTTTTATCTTCATAAGGACCAGACCCTCTTCTTCTCTTTATCTACAGTGGGAGTGGGTCCTCTTCTACAGAATCTGCCATGTTTCTACAGTAGCCCCAAACAGTAGTTGGAAGGGGAGGGTGAGGCAAGGGGGTGCAATCTACAACTTCACCATTACATGCCACTAAATCCTCCTATCTATTGTGGTGGGGGCCCTTGAAATGAAAAGATTTGGGAACCCCTATGCAGATGTAAGGTGGGGCCTAGGATGAAATCAGAGATGACAAAGTTGCACACATTAGTCGAGCTACAGTACAAGACTATATTCAATTCAAGTCAACCCATCACACAGAGACCAACCCTAATGCCTAGCCATCTAAAAGGCAATTTACTGTTGCCTGCTATGGTATCCACAAGAAAAGTCACTCACTGTAGGTCAAAAGACAAGCTTAGACATTACATGGGCATGAGAAAACAGTGCTTGAAACACCATTTGGCTACACATTGTGTTCATTATAAGCAATATGCAGCAGTTGGATGAGGCTATATAGTGGGCAGTGAGGTGGCAGCTTTGAGCAACATCCTACAGCGGAAAACACACTCCATGAATACTTGACAACATGATATGATGCAAACAGACAGTCAAATGGTGTAATCCTGCACAAAGCATAACTTTGAATAACAAACATGAGACCGTCATGATTTTAAGCAAATATGAAAAAAGAGCGCATGCACACATGTACACCCAAGCGCACACACACACACACAGACAGGCAATGCATTTCATATGAAACCTTTAAAGCTGTTAGTCATGTTTCACAAAATGTTAACAAACCTCAGCCAGTTTCTTTTTCAAATTAGGAAAATGTAGGCCAAAAGCCCATCAGAGGAGGCATGCTGGAATGGAATATGGGTCAATGCTAAAGTTTAAATTATAAACAAGGCAATCTGCCTGATGTCATTATTTGCTTGTTTTTTGTTTGAGGAAATCCCTAATCCCACTCACCCACATGCCAAAAGCATGAATAATTGACATTCCAGGCATTTTCAAATGTTAGCTTGTGCTGTTCCAGTCCAAATTTTCCCAAATCCAGACAGAATACACATTTTCAACCACACTGTATGCATGTGGGGGCTGATGGACCATGAACACATGTATGGGCAAACATACAAACAATTGTTGCTGCTGTTCTATGGGACAATTGCCCTTGTCTCTGCCCTGCAGCTTTATTGCTCACATTAAAACACACAAAGACAAAATGTTCATTTCAGCTTCAGCAGGGTGGTGGTGGCGTGCAGCCCTCTCCACCAAAAAGCCAAACAAAAGTACGTCCTTGTTACCATGGACAGAATATGCCATTCTACCAGCAGACCGATGGTGTTGTCATGTACTTTACAATTATAGCCCAAACAGAAGGGACATTTGTCAATCATAAAGGACTGACTAACTGAGCAGTCCTGGGCCTGGAGCTAGCAACTAGTCAGAAATCTATTATTCTCTCTCCATTTTCTTTTCAATAATGAGCACACAGCTGTCTAATATTGTAGCCTCTTAGCTGGAATAACTTTTTTCTGGATCAGTCCAAACATGTCACTGAACTACGTCATTATTAAAACTGATAGTCCCCACTAAGAATACTATGTAAGTGGTAGTGCAGTTATATCCCTACTATTACAACAAAGAATGTGACGTTCATTCAAAAATTATGCTAAAACTCAATACAATTCTGAACCTAAACTTAAGTTAAAGTGGTCTATGACTGACAGCAACAGGCTGTGTAAATTGTTTTGCTGAACTTGCTCTTTATTTTTATGAACTCTAACCTGCCCTAAATGAGACAAGAACACACACAACACCACATAACTCTGACATGACAGGAAATGTAATAAGCATTACTGTCACATTTAAGCCGGGCTCAGGCTACACGAGTTTTGGCCCAATTTACCTCAAAGAAATCTGTTGTGGGACCTTGATCAGTACCAATGTTTGGCTCTGATCTTATCAGGGCCGCCATGATAATTGTCAAACTTGATATTAAAATCTGAATGATTACGTTGGTGCAGAAATAACAGAGGGGTTGAAATCTATCCTCCAGTTCTCTCTGAAAAACATCTACAACTAGACTTGTTTAGCCCTCTGCTTTTTATTTTTCTCACTGAACGGCATTAACGTTACCATAGCAAGTTGTTTTCCACGGCCTCAATTCTGTTTACATCTACTTCCCTGGCACCTCTAGCACGATAATCTTAATATCCTGTAGTGTGTGCTGCACAACAATTATAAAATCTTGTGGTATGTGCATGTTGGAGGTTAGAGAGAAGAAAATCTGTAAATTTTCTCCATATGTGCATGATGGAGAATTGAATCCAATCCAATTTTAAAATCAGTAAACTCATGTAGTCTGAGCAAAGATTTAGTCCTACTACTTCACAAAAATTCAGATAACTACTCCTTTAACTCATAAAGATTTTTGTGCACGCATAGTATGTGCCTTGTACATACATTACACATTTCAATAAGTCCTACATGACGACCCCCTTAAGTGAGCTTGATTTAATGTGACATTTTGAGATCAGCAGCGTCAGTAAGAGTGTTCTAGGTTTTAACGCTAGATCAAATTCTGTCTTACATTCTGCCAAAAATCATGAGAATAAACACTGCATACATGCATGTTTGGTCATTAAAATTGTAAAATATAATGTATAAAATATCACATAGACCCTTATTAAAAACATGAACTGCTAAATTTATCTCACGGCAGATTTTTCTCCTCATGATTCAAGTTTCAGCGAGGTTCTTTTCTATCCAGCCGAAAGCTGCCAGTCCCGCGTAATATGGAAATGGTCTCTTAATGAAGCATGCTACATTCCTTAATGAGTCAAGACAGGAAATAATTTGTTTGTAATTTGTTTAAAAGTGAATATGAAAAAGGATTAAACCAATAAAACACAACAAGTTATGAGCTAAATCGTTAGTAAACAGTGGGGTCACCAAGCAACTCTCTGCTCCTCATTTGTGTGATCAATCTGTGTGTGGTGGTGCCGAGTGTCCACACTGGCTGTTGCTATGTTACAAAGTCACAAGAAGGAGGTTGGCAATGCATGGATTTAAAAATGGCCTCTCCCTCTTCTTCAAGCCCTTCTGTCAAACAGTGTAAAGCTGCTAATGTGCATGTAATCCATCCATCAATATGTGTAAAACTGAATTAGGAGGTGAATTAGAAAACTTGGTTGGTTTATTAATCAAGTGCTGCAGGAATTAAAAATCTCAAATGCAACTTTATAAGAATAAATGTGGAATCAATCGCTACTGTCACTGGTTTACAATGTAACTACTATTGCTATTACTACATGCTATTACTATGTGGTTGTAGTTGGGCTGTGGTGCTCTGATGCTCACAGTGTTAACATGCTGATGTTAAGCAGTAAGTATGTTTACCATGGTCACCACCTTAGTTTAGCACGGCATCATCAGGTCAAATTGGTGCTCGATTAAAGCCCAGGGGATAAAATTGCACCAAATTTCACTGAAACCCACCACAAACCCCCCCAATAAAAAAAGGTGTCAACATCTTGGTTGGGCTCACCCAAAGAATATACGCTACCACCTGGGAACAGTAAATATTTGTAGCTTTATCCAAATGTGTCCAATATATATATGTCATATGTTAGATATTTCACAGGAATAGTGAAAACTCTGCCCTGCTGGTGGCGCTAGAGGAAGATATTTCCGTTTGGGCCAACAACTAGAATAAACCTTCGTGCGCACACCCTTATTGCAGGTTATAGCCTTTATGCTACATACTGATGACATCGCTTTAGTTACCATTAGATAAATTACTAGCGCAGAAACCAGCGTTAGAGACGTTTATTTGTATGTTTAAACTACCCAACAATAGTGGGTAGTCTCCGTCACTTCCTGAATGCAGCAGTGCGCGCCTGCAGGACTTTGAGAGAGGCAAAGTAAGCTAAATGTTAAATGAAAACATCCACTACGGTATTTTTCTTTCGCCCTCCCCCCATCCAAAATACAGTCACACGGGAACGCGCATTAGCAAACGGGGCGACACACTCCCTTTAAAAACAAGCACGGTGCCCTTTAAACAAACTACGCCACAAGCTTCGGTAACTGAAGTCTACAGCTCGTTTATTTTTAATTATTTATTTTTTACAAACTATAAAGCAGTAAGCGAAATCCAAGGAGGAATGAAGCGTTGAACTAACTACAACTAGCTGCGTCGAGAGAAGGAAACAGTTGAGCTCCAGTAATATGTGGTTATTTATGTCGATAACGGCCAAATTCAACCCGTAAAAGTGTACAGTGTGTAACTGACATTATCCTTACCTACACAGTGAATGAGTTTGTGCCGCCACGAATCAAGTTCCTGCCGAAATCCGTGTCTGTCGATCGTGCATTGCTGCCTTTTACACCTAGTAGCCATTTTGTGTTTCTGGTTCTCTTCGCGCAGCAGCTCGAAAGAGGAAGCGGCTTGTATGGAGAGCCGAATGGGTCACAATTCGGCTCGATTTTTTTTTTTTTCACCGGCGTCTTTAAGTCTACTTTCCAAAAACATGAACCCAGAAATGTTGTGAAACATGAAAAGTTTTATGTTAGAAATGTAGAGTATGGGTCCCCAGCATATAGAAACGGCCGGATGCTAACTTGCATAATGTTGGTCAATTAGCATTATTAGCATGAAATAGCATTATCGCCTATATGGCCAATATTTCAGCAACTGCTTGGCCTATTTGGACAATATATGAGTTGTTTTAGGGGTTATTAGGGGTGCTGAATACATTTCTGACATTTTCAAAACACAAAATGGCTGTTTAAACCGGAAGTGGACATATTTTAACTCCCCGTGTGCCAATTTTGATGAATTTCTAGTCAATTCTTAGGTAATTTATACACTTAATAAATTGGGCTTGCATTTTAGAATTGCCACTGTAGTTATGGCTGCAGGCTGAATAATGGCTGCATGGATAGACAGAAGAAACACAGGTTTTTACATCGTTACAATGGTTTAATTTGTAAACGGTTCCATTTGTAAAAACGGTCTCAATGCAAGTAAGTTGTTAAAAAAAATGGAGTAAATCAAAAACTTAACCCATAGTAATTAACGCAACAGTACCACCAGCAGTTATTCTACGATTATTCCATTGTAATGACCCCTCTTGCCAGCCTGAATCCTGAGAGCAGTCTGTAAGATGGACCAAACAATTTCACCCAGTCCCGATGGCATTTGATGCATTAATGGAAAAAAGATGACTGACCTATTGAAGGCAGTCCTGTTGTGTAGTAAATTCTGAAAGTGTCTAAAGGGGGAGTGGAAAAAATTATATCCCAAAAGGACATTAGGCTCAGCCCTCTCGAGCATCTTGGCCAGGAAGTTGGCCAAAGCATGTTCGGTGCACCACAGAGGTTTTATTAAATCTCCTTGATGTTCAGGGAACCTGATGATACTAGTTGCCCAGGATGGTACGGGAAAGGAAGCCACGAGCAGTAAAAGTGGAAATCCTAAGGACATATGTATGTGTATTGTCTATGTTGCAGACCAGAATGGCGGGCAGAGCATTAATAGGAAACTAGCCAGATTGACTAATTTATGTACGTTTATTGTCATCTGTAGACGGGAGCGCTGTTCCAAGTTTCTCTTGTGACCCACAGATACGATGTGATTCGCAAAGTGGGAACAGCCCAAGCCCTTCTTCTACTGACTCCCACTTGTCTGAATTCTACCACTCCAAACTACTACAGACTGAGCCTACCATACAAAGATGAGAGTTGGTGGGAGATGAGAGGCTCAGGTGACAGCAGACTTTTATTATTGGGGTGATGGACCAGGTGACCCAGACATGGTTGATTAGATCACAACTTGTGTTCATGCATTTGCTCCTCCCCATGAACCCCCTTTCCTAACCCATCTTAAGGCTTTCTCTGCCGCCTCTGTGATGTTCTTGATGGCTCTTATCCTCTCCTTCCCAGTGATGCCCAGTTCTATCCAGGTTTTGTGGAGTGATTGCCCTGTAAAACCTCTGCAGCCCACCTCCATAGGCATACACCTTGCCTTCCAGCCCTGCTTCCGACAGGCCAGGGCACGGTCAGCTCTATTATAACGATGTTCTTTGTTGCCTCTGAGACCTATATTGTAAACATAGGCTGTATTCAGAACCACCTACAACATACTACCAACAAAAAACAGTTTTTATAGTAGTATGCACTATTAAACTGTAAAATCAATTTATTTTACAGTATAATAAACCAGTCTTAGCCGGTCTCTGGTGTTGGAAAGTGGAAGTAAACCATAGGTGGCGCTAGGGAATCAGATATGGGGAAGCTAAATTATTATGACAATATTATTATGACAAATGCTCCCAATGACAAATAAATACATTTAATCATGAACCTCAACTGTGAGCATTTCACCTTAAGTTCTAAGTTACAATTACATTTCTTATTATCATTCTTCACACAAATTAGCATTAATTTATCCAGAGCTCACAGGTGATCACAGACATACATCTCATATGAATGAAAAAGGTGTTTGCATGTGTCTATAAGTTGTGGCAGAGATAGACACAGGATCTCAACCCCATAATCATATTTCACCAACATATAGACATAATTCATAGCGAGTTTAAAATGACAATAATTATATATGTATGGGTACTGAATGGCAGATCTGCTACTGAACTCTTCTCCTCGGCCTCTTAATAGTGCCACCTATGCACTTGCCCTGTAAGAAACATTAGCTGAATCCCTACACCACAGACTGCATAAGTCTATTGTGTTGTATGTGGGTTATCCTTTATTAATCCCCAATGGGAAAAATATTTTTTCACTCAATGTTTTTCACACATGGGCCCAATACAATCACACTCAAAGGGCATATAGACATGCAAATATGGTGGAGTGATAGGCTGCCACGTAGCATCACCCTGGGAGCAATTAGGGGTTCAGTGCTTTGCTCAAGGGCACCGCGGCAGGGCCCAGGAGGTGCATATGGCACCTCTTACCTTATTCATTAAATTGCTTAGGCTATTAGTTAAAATATCTTAATTTGTGGGCTTTTCCAGGCAAATATTGATATCGTATGTGATTGCTTACAATTAAAACAGCACTAGTAAAGTCTCCATGCCACCCTCTTTGCCACCCTATGAATATATATCTAGATCCGTCCCTGTATCCTTCACTTAAGTCTGTACTACAGCCAGTAAAACGGTGGGCTTTCCTTTCAACTGTAGTGTTGAGTGCTTTAAGCACTTTCAAAAGAATGCCAGTCTTTTTTATAAATACCTCTGCCGCAGTCTCTAAGCTGTAGCACACTAGGCCAATCAGAGAAAGTTTTCAATAAGAGCCAACAACAGTCATGCAATGAAACAGCGCGGCGATCAGGCTGCAATGATGCTGTTATAATGCTGCCTTTAAGTTCTGTCGGAAGTTTCCTTAGTAATCCTTAGACGAAGCACCACAAACACGACAGCAAACGTAAACACGGCTCGTAGAGAGGGAATTGGTTTCTATAAGTTTCTATGTCGAGTCTCTATAAGTCAAATATTATAATAAGAAAAGAAAATAATGTGATGTATTAGTTTTATTGTAGCCTAAAGGAAGACATTTCCCAATTTTTATGAAGCTGCTGTTTCTCTCAAGTTCTACAACAAAACAACGGTCACTAAAATGCGTTTTGCCGCAGATTTTTCTCATCATTTGTAATCAACCAAGCGCACCTGAAGCCTATGTGAGGGTTTGTTAAGACTCTTAAACTCGGATGTAGGCGCTTACGAGCAGCACTTGAACGCGGCATACGTTTCCCAGCCGGTGTTTTCATATTTTTACGCCCCTCCGCTGTTGTATGGTGGTTTCCATGCTTCAGAGACGACAAACGTAGCGTACAGGTAAATGATAGCGTTAATAGGTGTTGTCGCTTTTCGCTTATCTATAGTTGTGTTGCCATAGATTACTGTCGATTTACATAGACTAGTCACTAAAAGCGATAGCAACATCTATGTGAAGGCTACATTGATCGAGACATATTGACAGCCTAAATTGGATATTTACAATAACGAGTGTTTGTGTCTCAGTGTGAGCTGATGAATTATTCATTCAATGGCGACCGCATGGGTAAAACTACACCTGACTGCCATTCTGTAGGCTGCATACTGTTACTAGAGAACCCCTGAACAGTATTTTTAAATGGTCACCATAGGATAAGCTTTTCTTTATATCTGCAGTCAGGCTACAGTCACGCTTTCCAGTCTATTCCTAGAAGGCGTTTCACCAATGTGTGCTTTTAAACTGGGCTCACCACCAGTACATATACTGGACACTGAACAGACTTCTTGGGTTGACAGTTATAGGATCTGGTGTAACTTGTCTTTATCCTTTGATCCGACCTACACCTAAAGTTCAACTACAGTGACATGCATTTACACTTAAGGGCTTTTCCCACACACACACACAGTCATTTTATCCCTATTAAAAAAAACCTCAAGACAAAAAAAACTGCTTCAGCTGTTTAAATATGAAAGCTGCATGTGCTGAAAATAATCCTCAAACTCATGTATTCATGGTACTCAAATACTGGTCACATGAGGCTGTACAGTACTGAGCCTGATGCATGATTTTCTGTCTTTACTCATGTAAGCGATTTAAGGTAATGCCAAATTACAGTGCATTTGTATTCTAAACACCATAAGAGGCTTGGAGTTGCTGCTTTAGTTACCACTGTGGAGCTGGACCTGAAAGTTACATGAGAAAAAGACAAAAACTGTAACAATATGTCCTAAAGAGAAAAGTTGCTTCCTCTGTTTCATGGGCAGAACGAGTAATAACGCTTCCCTCCAAGTAAGTAGTCAGTAGATCATGGTCAGCTAAAGAACGGCATCTCAGAGCTGGAAGAGATCCACAGATGCCCCTCTCACTCTGAAAACCTTTCAAGTGCTTTTCTTTTAAACATTAAATTGCAGGTCACCAATAAAGGTGTGCTCCACAGCTCTGTTGCCAATGAGTGTGTTTGTGTGTCGATAACAGGGGTGTCATGACTCTGACCAGAGGATCTTTCATCTATGCCAGTGGGGAAGAATACCACGGCGAGTGGAAAGAAGGCAAGACAAGTCATTTTGTACAGTTTGTGTGCAAGCGTCGCCAGCTTATTTACAGAGATGGATATTAATAGTTGCAGGTGAACGCTATCTTGGCCTGCTTTCCTGGCACCTTTTTTACTTTTCTAAAGCAAAATCCTTTCCACACATACCTGTACATGAGTTCAGATGCAATACAGTATATTTCTAGTATTTAAACATGGTCCCGTGCACACATGCAGACAATTTTGACCATATATAATGAAGCTATAACATATATAGTATATGCAAATATACTGAAACAGAGGTGTTGGTTATCCTCTGACTACATCTGTCATTAGCTAAGATAACAGCACTCTCTGCCTCAGCATGGGCTTGAAAGCATCAGTGCTGGATAAGAGAAAG